TCACTTTCTTACATGTGGCCTTGTTATGCCCACTCTCTTTGCATACACTACACTTGATTCTTTTTCCAGCTCTAGACATTGTATGTGTTTGAGAAACCCTTTCTGATGCATCCCTTCTTCTTTTTTCAGTTAGTCTAGCAGGCATCCTTCTATCTTTGGGTGGTAAAGGTGGAATGTATGTTGTCTCAGGCCACATAGAAGTACAATTCATGCCTACTATGTTGTAGTTATATGCATTCTTTGTACATTGCACCACTGAACATGTGGTCTACATATAACTCTACATTCATGTTTTGGTAACATATGGCAGCTACTGAATGTACACAACCATATCCATTCATTTCCCATGATCTACAAGAACAAGTTTTACTTTAAAGGTCTACTGTAAAACCCTCCACGCCACTTCATACTTCAAATTATTAAGACCACTTGCATACACTTGTTAATACCTTTGATGTTTCTTCAAGTCATTTAACAACAACCTTATAGCAGGACAATCTTGGTTGTCTTCCCATGCCATCCCCTTTGCTCTCATTCTGTACATCCTCTCCATCATGTAAAGCCTTATTTCTTCCAGCATTGTTATGATAGGCTTTTTCCTAGCATCTACTATTACAAAATTGAAACTTTCAGACTGACCATTCTCTACTGAGTCACAACATCTACCTAATTCATGTGACCTTCACCAAGTTTTAGGATCCTTATCCATGAAATAGTTATATCCTTCTTGGCTTAACATTTGAATTTCATTCACTTTTGATTGAAATTCAGCTTCTATTGTCGCTTTACTTGCAGCCCAGAACATGTTCTGAAGTGGGCTCCAATAAACCTTTTCCTAAAGTAGGAAAAGATGTGTCTTGCACACTGCCTATGCTCAGCATGAGGTAGTAGATCCTTGACAACCTCTATTAGTCCCTACAATACAAATAGTAAATTAACATCATGGCACACAACAAGTTATTAACAAAACAAACAAAGTACCTTGTGTTGGTCAGACATCAGTGTCAAGCCATTTCCTATGAATTGTTCAAAATCATCAATAAGTAAGTCCAAAAACCACTTCTAGTTTTCTTTGTTTTCTACATTTACAATACACCATGCAATAGGAAAAATATGGTTGTTGGCATCCCTCCCTACTGCAGAAAAGAATTCCCCTTTACAAATTCCTTTGAGGAAGCATCTATCTAAACCTATTACTCTTCTGCAACCATCCATCTAGCCTTTTTTCAATGTAGCAAAACAAACATAGAATTTACTGAAGTATTTTGTACCATCTGGCATCGGATTAGTATCCATTTTCACAGTGGAACCAGGGTTTGATCTTCTTATTTCCTCACTATAGGACCACAATCTTTCATAGTGTTACTTAATATCACCTTCAATTATGCTCAAAGCATATTTCTTTGCCCTCCTGCATTACCCAAGATTAACATTTTGTCACACCCTAAAACCGGAACAGCGGAAACGTTCTGGGGTGGATGATGTCATGTCAAGTATCACAACACATGCAGTATAGTAATCAAAGTACAACAACCATTGCATTAACAGTAATAGTTTTACATGGTTTATATTACATAGAAACTTCAAAGTAATACAAGTAATGATATAGGTGCAGCTTGGTACTAAACTGTCTTCACCAAAAGCTCCCGATAGTTTTATGTTTTAAAGAGTATTTTCCCTAAAATATTATCATTTCCAAAACACGGTATTTGATTTTAAAGGATTAGAAGGATATCACAAGTAAAAACATTAGGGAAAATAATGTATGCCTCAGTAGGAAATGCTGCTGACTAAGGCAACAGAAATCATAGACTCCACGAGAGTATCAAATGAACGATGCGCCTGACGTCTAACGAGAGGAGACGCAGACCCCAGACAGTATCAAATGAATGATACGTCTAGCAAGGTCTAAAAAAACAGTGAATACAGTGTTAATTCCCGTTACCTTAAGGCCATGAACTATAAGGTAACCTCGAGATACTCGTAACCATACTGATAGACACTAGAGAACTTGACGCCCTACAAGCGTCAGAAAGAATGTGACATCTGTCACTCCTTGGCTTGGTAGTTCGTGGACTGTAGCTAGCAGTCAGGGTGTGGTGGTGTCAATCCCGTATAGATCTATACACACAATGCCCGCTCTCCCTACAGGAGACTCTGGTTACCAACTAGACAACGGAGAAGGCCGTGTCCTGAAGATGCATCTGTATAGTGAGATCTGATGTAAAATACTGGACTAGTGATAAAGACTCACAACTTAACTAACCGATGTAAACCTATATGTCTATGCTTGTGTACATAATATATAACTAATGATCAAATGACCTTCAGACGGATATCCGATCCCACCAGACCACATCTCAACGAAGAAAAGGAAATAGGGCGAACTAGCCTTCCTAAGTCCTTTAAACATTATTTATATAACTATACAAGCATAGTCATACATTTAACTAAGTAGAAGCGTTAACAAAGTAGAAGTATTTCATGAAGTAGAAGCGTTTCTCAAGTGGAAGTGCTAATAAGGTATAAGCGTTTTCGAAGTAGTAGCATTAATAAAGTAGGAGTGTTAATAAGTAGAAGCGTTAACAACTAGAAGCGTATCGTGAAGTAGAAGCGTTAATAAGTAGAAGCGTATCGTGAAGTAGAAGCGTTAACAAGTAGAAGCATATCGTGAAGTAGAAACGTTAATAAGTAGAAGTGTATTACGAAATAAAAGTGTATCACGAAGTAAAAGCGTTAACAAAGTAGTAGTGTTTAACTAAGTAGGAGCATTAACTAAGTAGAAGTATAACGAAGTAGTAGTATCTAACAAAGTAGGAGTATAAACACATGGATGAAAACTTTGATGGAAATTTTGGAAAACCATTACATTTAAGAAAATCACGACCTGGTATTCTTTTATAGAATAAGTTTGAAAACCTTTAGAAATCCTTTCATAAACAAGTTTTAAATGAAGCTTTGATAAAGAATTATAGGTAAAGAAATCCTTTGTTTAAAATACTGCTGTAACTAAATCTGAAATAAAACATACAACGCGAGAGTCAATTTGAGAAAGCTTTGAACAAGTAAAGACGTTTTAGAAAACCATCTACAGTATCATACTTGGTAAAACAGTTAACAGTGTAATGAATCCTTGTACATGCGAGTTATCAATCACATGTGATTGATATGATAACTAGCATGTTTAACTTGTATTCCCCCCCCCCCCCCATAAAAGCATGTAAAAACATTTAAAAGGTTAATTCACGGGTATGAACTCACCTATTGTAAGTGGATCAAACGAAGGTGCCGGTTGGGTGCTCGGTGTCAAGTAAAGACTTGAACACACTTATTGACCTATTAACATATGATGACATATGTTTACATACAATTAGTAAATATAATACTAATTAAACACGTATACACATCCTAAAGTGCGGAAAACACTTTGATTGAGTGCTAGGGGTGTCCCGGGTAACATCTATGGGTATGTATGGTCTAGATAGGGAGGTTACTCTTCAAGAGTAAACTCTTTATAGAGTTCATGGCCCTAAGACCAACTCCCCATGAGTTTACGGCCGTAAACTCATGGTGGGGGTGTTCTAGGATGCTTCAAGATCTTATATCACTCGTGGAATTATGCTAGGCTCAAATCTAGGATTTATAAAGGGTTTAAGGCCTCACATGGACCATTTTTGGGAGTTTACAGCAGTAAACATGGAGTTTACGGCCGTAAATGCCTACTAGCCCTTTCCTTTTGTGTTTTGAGGTCTTAAATCGTAGAGAATAAAGTTCTATGCATTTTTCCAAGTCAAATGAAGAAGTTGGGGCACCATTTGGGCACTTTTTGGGAGTTTACGGCCCATGGACCAATCCTAGGGGGGTTTACGGCCGTAAACTCCTATTTCCTTGGTTTAATTGATGTTTAATGCCTTTACTTCAATTGGTTTTCTTCTAGACATTTTCCAAGGCCATAGGAGGTGTTTGAGGGCATTTCTAACACTTAAATTTGAGTTTACTCCCCATGAAGAGGATTTTATGGCCCAAGCATATTTTTGGGCAGTAAACTTAAGTTTACTCCCCAAAAGTTAAGTTCAAGGTGTTCTAAGTCCGTTCCCATAAGTCATTTAGCCATATCTAAGCCTTAGGGGTAGTTTGGAGGGGTTTTGGGGCTTAAAAACCCCCCACTTAAGGGTGTTCACGGTCCAAGAGTGTTCTTGGGCCGTAAACACATCATCTTTCCCCTATTTGATGTCTTAAACACGAATTTGCATGTTAACTAAGCTATAAAACAAGTTAGGATAGATTTCTTACTAGTTTGGGGCTCGAAACGAGCATTTTTTGCTCGAAAACAAGTTGTAGAGAGAGCGTGTAGAAAGAGAGTGAAAAGAGTGTAAATGAAGTTTACTCTCCCTTATATAGGTGCTTGAGTTGGGGCTCAGTGGAAATCTACCTGATACTGCCGCTAAACGGGGCTTTTGGTCGCACCCGATTAAGTGGTCGTATTTCGACTTGGTTAAAACTAGAACTTTTCAAGGGATTAATGAGGGTGTTTCAAATTTTTTTTCAACCCTTACCAAGTCATTATAAAAGTCCCACATTAATTAACCTCTTCAAAAAGGCTAACGGACAGTTTAATAAAACAAGGTTTATTAACGGAAGGAGGGGTTAAATATGAAAGATTAAATTTCGGGTTGTCACACATTTAGTCCAAATTTTGCTATAACCTCAAGTCTAAGTTGTCTATGACTCAGTTTCTACCTATGCATAATTTTCTTAGTGAAATGACTTCCAATCCAGGCATAATTTACAATTGACCCCATCTTCAAATTCCTAGCACAATTGTGATCATGCTTCAATGATTTAATCTGGAAAGATTGTTCATCACCCATCCACGATGCCCAAAGTCTAAATGAACAAGCTCCATCACAACATAATACTAACAATCTTTTGGTATCATTTTTCTTGAAGCATAATTGATATCCACTAGCAACTGCATGGTTACATAATATATGCTTCAACTATTTTGGATTCTCAGATCTCATTCCTAATATTGGTTTCTGTTGTTTCCATGGGCTTTCCTTACTAAAGATACAATGTTCCTCACATTCAGGGTTATTCTCACCTTCCTCGTCAAAAGCAATGTCATCAGCTACTTGGTTGTGTTCTTGGTTTTGTTAATAACCTACTTCATCTTCATCATCCATGCACAACTTACTCAAAAAAAACATCATTCTTAGTTTTGTTCATTTGATATTTCTCACCCAGTTCATCTAAATCCATTGAGAAATTTTTTATGTCCACCTCCTCTTCTCTTTGACCTTGAATACCTGATTCCATCTCATCACCACTAATTACTTCGTTTTCACTTGACACAAACCAACCCTCTAATTCATCATCAAATAGGTCAATGAATAATGAAGCGTTACCTCCTCTTATAGCGTATGAAACATGTATGAACTCGGCATACTTTGTATCACAATCTATTTTTCTAATACCATTATGCAAGGGTTTGTTTGGGTATAAAAAGTACATTTTTGCATAACGGTCACCCAAGAAACGTTCAAGAAATGTAACACAGTCACTAAAATTCATACCAAGAAATTCGTGGTCTGTAAATAAGAATTTCTTACCTTCAGCATACTGGAATGGACATCGAATAAAATACCCACCATAATTTGGCTCAAGTTTAAGATACCTATTTTCATCATCTGCCATCTTTGAGGAAAATTAGACAGAAATCGGCTTGAATGAGGGTAAGTGAATCGATGGTTCCGATGGAACCCTAGACCAATGTCTGTAAATAAGAGGGAATCGGTTATGCCTGCACACGTGGACATCCACATACTCATAAGCAACCAATTTAACCCAATCAAAATGGTCATATTCCTTCTTTTAACCCACTATTTGAAAGTGTAAGGATCCATAACACTCAAAAAATAGAATAAGGACCTTTTAAACCCAAAATGAAAAGATCTGTCCCGCCCGACATCAAGCCCCACCCGAAAAGATCTATCAGTAACATGCGATGGGCCCCGCCCAACACACTCATCAGCCCCATCTGGTATCGGGCCCCGTACGGTATACATACAAACACATACATTACATGAAAGAATCACTACGATAAACAACATACATTACACTCATCAAGCCCTGCTTGACATTAGACCTCGTTTGAGATATTTATCACATACCACACATGCAGAGTCACACAAACAACTAGCATCCTAATCATAATAAATCATGGGTCAGCATTAGTCCCTTCAACCTGCCAAGCACGGTGAAGAGACTCACCTCAATCTGAGATAACCGAGACACACGCGTTGTTGCTATTAAAAACCTCATCTATCCTAATCAATAGTTAAAGTCATTTCCCAAAATCCAAGGTCCAATCCATATTTTATCCTTCTAATGGGTAAAAGACCATTTTACCATTCCCATATCTCACCCAATAACCCATCGCCTATACTCTAAAAGACCCAAGGCCCAAAAGAAGACCTTGCAAGTACGCCCTATGTACCCAACTCGAACACCCCGCTTACGACCGATTGAAGTTCAAGGTACAACTCGTTAAATCTCAAGGACGGGGACTTCATGCATTACACTGAGCGTACGCATACGTACGCCCAACGTACTCATCAGATGACCAAGACTTCATATTAAACACTTAATGCTTAAGACCAAAAAGTCCAAACTCACATGCAACCTCTAAATAAGGTCTTAATCCATAAAGTTGTCAACTTTACTCCTTTTCATGTCTTAATGGGACCCAAAACCCATTTAAATCCATCTAAACCCATAATATGAACATCAACTTAAGCATGATTCATCAAAACCCATCAAGATGATATTTTTATGGATAACTCCACAATGGATAAAGTTTCCAACTTTATCCATTAGAATAGTCCAACCAACCAAGATTTAGTCTTTAAGTCTCAAATGGACCAAAAGTGCATCTTTTCTAACTTAATCCATTAAGTTCAAATCTCAAGCTTTTAGATCTGAATCAATATGATGTTTAGATGTTTCGAACCTTATCCATAGCAATGTCACAAACTTTCAAGATCTAAACTTTATGCACTAAAGTAACCAAAAGCTCATAACACCCAAGACTAGCTAGATCTATCAAATGCATCATCAAGATTCAAACTTTATACCTCTAAAAGAAAGATCAAGGAGAACAAAGTCTGGATTTATAAGCTCCAATGCAACCAACACTTCTCCAATGAGCTCCTTCTTCTCCAATATGCACCAAGAACACTCCAAAACACTTAAAAACACCTTCTTTTTGCTCACAACGCTCAAACTAGGGCTAAGGTTTCAAGGGACGGTGTTGGAGAGGTGGAGGCTGAGAATGGAATGGGTTTGGGGAAGTTAAGGAGCTTAAATATGGCTCAAACCACGAAAATATGGTTTGGACACTGATCCCGTACACCCAACGTACTCAGGGATATCCTAGTACGTCCAACATACTAAGGGATACCCTAGTATGCCCAACGTACTTCCCCATACGCCCAACGTATGTGGCTTAACCCAAAACCGCCATAACTTCAAACGGTCATAACATTTTCGTTTTAACTCTGATTTTGACGATCCTTATATCCACGGAAAGGTAATGAGAAAATCTACAACCCTATCAACTCTCCTTTTCCTTAAAACTTTCCGAACATAAATCCAAAATTTATAAAAGGCCCGAACTATTACTTTACGATTATACCCTTGGGCTCCAAAGCACCAACCGAACTCTCAGATCACCTAATCTATGTTCCCACATCCAAAGAGGTATAAATCTCTCTTTCCCCCAAGGTCCGAAGCCTTATGATAACCGATCTTCGGATCACAATCCCAAACTATGAAACGATTCGAAACAAGGTGTTACACAACCATTTCAAAAACCACACCAACATTCTAAACCAGAACTAAGCTCATATGAAATTTTACCAAATGGGTAAAAAGTGTGTAAACGAGTCGAGTCGAGCTGAATAATGCCATGCTCGAAGCTCGACTCACCTAAAATACTCAAGTTCGAAGCTCGACTCGAACTTGCCTCGAGCTAATGAAATACTTGATACTATCAAGCTTGGCTCACGGCTAAAATTAAAAAGAAATAAAAATAGTTAAAATCATCAAAAATTAAAAACATTCCACATGCTTTTACATTGTTCAAAGTAACAAAAAAAAATCACAATAAACCATCTAATGTCAATATAACATCAACCATCTATGTCATTGCATTTTACATACATCCAAAATACTAAAAACAAACATTCTCAAAAATTTTGAAATTCAACTTAAGTTTTTACTCCTTGACTGGCCCCTAAAAGCTAAAAATGTTGAAATGTTTTAGTAATTTAAAATATATAAAGGTTAAAAATGTAATTTTATAAATACCCTACAGTACTTGAGTAGCTCGTGGTTGATTAAAGTCGAGTCGGAATCGAGTTTCTCATGAGTTGTATCGTCTCGTTTACACCCTAAGTAAAACGATGAGTCGATGGCCATGGTCCAAAAGAGAAGAAGTGGCTTAGTTGTCCAAGGCGTTTTATCAGTGCTTCGGGAGACAAAGAATGTGTAAATCATGAACGACCAGACTCTTTTTGATTGATACCAAAAAAAATTCTGGATGACCAAATGGTCAAGTTTGAAATTTTAAATAGAAACGATGATTGTTATTGTGCCAAAAAAAAAAAAAAAAGATATGTTATGGCAAATTTGAAAAAGTAACCAAACTATAGTGCTTTCTTACTTGTTTTCCCTCTAAAATAATTATCTGATTATTATTGTAATAGTTTATTTTTTATAATATCTTTTAACTTTTAAAACCAAGCTTACTAATACAATTCAAAAGAAACATAGAAATAGTCAAGTAGTCAACCACCCGATCCATTTTTCGATTCATACTAAAAATTACTAATTTTTTTTAACCGTAACTCATTTTGATAATTGTCACTCCATCACCTCTTGTGATGATAAATAAATAAATTACCGCTATTATCAAACCATTGTATTATATTTGAACATTTTTTTTATATTCTAATAAAACAAACCACGCGAGTTCAAGTCTCGGCAAGAGCAGCGTGAGTGTTGAATACCCACTTTACCTCTCATAAAATTTAATTACTTTCGTAATCATTATTTCCTAATAAATTATTTAACTAGTTACAAACTATTTAAAAAAAAAAACTTAAACGAACAATTCCAAGTTTCCAACCCAAACAACATTTTTTTATTGACATCAACAAATGAGCTACCTAGTTGTGTTGAAGAGGTTGAATGTTCCATATGTCTCGAGCATATTCATGAATTGTTCGATCACTACTAAACTTGTAGGACCCACCTGTGTTCAAAATCGACATCCTTGTCCATCTCTGAAAAAACACAATTAATGTAAATAAATAAATAAAAAAAACTTACCATTTTATATAAAAAATTTCCAAGAATGGTAAACAATAACGCATATATATAGATAGGCAAAAGTTTGAAACTTTTCTCGCCTTATAATGTAACAAACTTATCATAAAATGTATCATTTTTGCTAACCTTTTGATCTCTATAAGCCTCATCGACTTTCTCTTGGCATTCAATGTAACTTGGGAAGTCTTTCCCTACAAGGAAGTAGTCTCCACAACCAAATCCTTCATTACCTTCTAAAGATCTCATTAATTCATCATAATTGTAACCCCCAAATACACCACTTCTTATGTATTCCTTCACTTCTTCAAAGCAAGGATCAGGCACAAACTGCAAGAAATAGCAACATACTTTAAAACTGATAATAAATAATTATATATTTCTTTTTAAAATATGAAAGTAGAAATACCTTGCCCTCAGCTCTTTCCTTTCGTAACCCTGATATCTCATGGGCTTGAGCACCAAAAAGGAAAAAGTTGTCTTCTCCAACTTCTTCCCTAATTTCCACATTTGCCCCATCTAATGTCCCGATTAAGATGCACCCGTTCATGGAGAACTTCATGTTGCTAGTTCCACTGGCTTCCATTCCAGCAGTGCTGGAATGGAATCAGAGTGAGTAATTGTAATTGTAAAAGGTTTATATATAGTGGAATTGATTTGATGAGAGTTGGAAACTTGGAATTGGAATATCACCTTATATGTTGTGAAAGCTCACTTGCGGGAATCAGCAATTCCGCAACACTGACATTGTAATCAGGAACGAACACGACCTGTAAGGAATGGAATGGACAAGGTAGAATGGAATGAGTGATTCCGAGAATTAGCAAAAGCTACCTAAAGTCCTAAACTATAATACCTTGAGTAAGTCTCCAATGTCGGGATCATGGTTTATGGTGGCCCCAACATCTGAGATGAGTTTCACAATTCTTTTGGCTTGTGCATATGTGGCGAATGCTTTCCCCCCAAATATACAAACCCGAGGGGTAAATTTGTCTTTTCTCTCAATGGGGGTTGTTTCTTTCATCTTCTTGTATCGGTAAACGATTCCCAAGATGTTTAACAACTGTCTCTTGTATTCATGAATACGTTTCACCTAAAATAATCAACACTTTGAATAAGAAAGGAGCTAAAAAGAAAAAGGTTAGTTAAATAAAATACAATGTCTTGATAAAAAGAATTTAAAAGTAGAAAATGAAAATGGCAAAACCTGGATGTCAAACATTGCATCAGGACTAACAGAATATCCTGTTTTCTCTTTAAGGAATGACACAACCTTAATTTTATTGCTCCTTTTTGCAGCTTTCCAC